CACCCAGAAGAAAAGGAGTGTGCCCTTAGACAGGTACAGTTTGAAACTAAGATTCTAATTTATCATTCATTTAATGTCTTGAAATATTTGTGCAATAAAACTATAAAAAAAGATAAACTATTTTGTCAAAAAATACAAATAAAATTATTGTCAGAATTCAAAAACCCCTAATAAAAATTGAAATTCTAGTATGCGTATTAAAATTTTAAAATTAGAAAAATGAAGAACCCGTATTTATGCAAGTAGAAGCTGCATAAAATCATTCAAGTTTGAAATTGTTATGTGAGATTTTATATATATGAATCTTTTACTGAATTCGAGACTGCTTATTACACTAAAATAATTCCTTATCAATTAATTTACGTATTTATTTGTACAACAACAACCTAAACATAATCAAAAACAAAATTAATGCAATACCAAAAGTGTGTATAAAATACTCACATTATTCAGGTTTAACTTTAAAATTAAAATTTCAAATGAATGCTTAACTTGTATTTTTTTTCCCTTCTCCATCGTTTGTAATAACAAATTTTTCGTGCATTTAAGTAATTTTTTTAAATAATTTTGTTGTAATAATATATTTTACTTGCCTTTTTCTATTTTTTATCTTCAACTCCATTTTAAGTGATGATCTTAATAAAAATTACCAAATTCTCAAAAATGACACCCTCTACCTCGTATGTTATAAGGGAGTTACTACGGTACCTTCAAAGATCGAGGGGTTTCAATACATTTTTCTATGTAAACTCATAAATTTTTTTAAAAAAGTTAATTTAATTATAAAATGAATAATCTAAATTATACTTATAAAATAAAAAATAAAATAAAATTATAGAAATTAAAATTATAAGATTTTAATAATATTACAAAATATTAAAAAAAGAAAAAAATTAATAAATAGTAGAAATAAAAAATTATTAAAATTACAATATAGAAATTCAAAAATTTAAGACAAAAAGACAAAAAATATACTTAAAAAATTATTAAAATTAAAATATAGAAATTCAAAAATTTTAAGTAAAAAGATAAAAATATACTTAAAAAATTATTAAAATTAAACTATTTAAATATATAATAATATTATTACACATAAATTAGAATATATAAAATAAAAATAAAATAACTAAATAATTTAAAAATTGAAGGAATAAAAAATATCATAAATATTATTTAAATAAATTATTAAAAATATAAAATATAAAAAACTGTACCGGTACCCTTTCAAATAAGATGGGTACCATAGAATTTCTCATGTTATAATACATAAATAATGAAAATTGAATAACATAACTCTTTATAAATAAAACCAAATATGTTCAAGTAAAAAATATCACATTCTTAACTTAATAAAACAACATAATTAAATGAAATCACAAGAAAATAAAACTAATGTTTTTCAAAATGATTTAACAAAACAATATCCTAATATAATTTTAGTTATGTTTCAATGTCACATGTCATATCAGAATAAAATCCAATACTGAAACCTAAGCCTCATCACCAACATCTTCAATCTTAAGCTGATAATCATTTGCATAACAATTAAGGAAAACAACACAAAACAAAGAGAGTAAGAAACATCTCATCCTAACTCACGATATAAGAATGTAAATAAGATATTTAAACACAAATAAGACATACAACAATACCTAGTCATATACACTTCATTTATACTATAATATGATATTAATAAATAATTATTCCGGTCCATATAATAACTCATTTATCATCATTGACACAATTACTTATTTATGACACACCAATCATAATTAATTCATCATAATTAATTCATTTACATGCAAGTATGGGATGCAAAGGGCACAGCACTTTAGTGCTAATCTCTTCTTGTGAAGGACTTGAAATATAGAAAGGGAATACAAATCCGAATGGAACTACTTGAAGAGCAATAACGATTAGGGGGTGAAGCCAACTCCATGTATATTGTAATACTGGGAAATCTGACATGTACAGTTTTGGAATGCTTTGCTTTGAGATTCTATGTTCCAACCGGCAAAGTTCCTTTGGAAGATAGGAATCTTCAATGGTAGACAAGGTTTATGCTGATTTAATCATGGGCATTTAATTTTTAAATATTATAATATTTTTATGTTTTTCATGTCTATTCTGTGATTCTGCAGTTGTGGTGCCATTTTCCCATGATTGTAGCGAAACAATTGATAAATGAAAAGGAAAAAAAAAAGGAAAGAATATATGAGATGGAGAATTGATTTTTATCTAACCAATCAAGTGAGTTAAAACAAAACAAAACTTTTCCCCACTTTTCTCAAAGATAGAGTAGGACAAATAACAAGAGGTCTCAATGAATAAATACCATCATAGCAAATTTGATTCTATCAAAACAGGAGAAGAATTGAAAAACAGAAAAAGAAAAGGTTTGTAAGATTAGTGAAAAGGTGCTGAACATATGAATTTAAGGATACAAGTGTGACATTAGCGAGCAAGGTATTTTTTGCCTGATTAAGCAAGGAAGCTTTTCTAGGCTGTCAGTATTCACAAACTCTCTTCCTCACGTATTCTTTCCCTGTCCTCTTTAATCTTACTATTAAATAGCCCAGCCTTTCACACCACATCAAATGTCACATAACTAAGAGACAAAGTAAGAGACTAAGAGCATCAGCGGATGGCTAATCCATACATTGCACTGCTGAAACTCACCATCATCTTCATTGTCATTGCTTCAGGTAATTCATTCTTTAAGCTTTATTTGTTGTCAATCTTAGTGAAGCAAATGTAACATTTAAAGTCAGACAAAACTTAGATATAATTTCTTATATAATTTTGGTGGTGTTCTTTGATCAGAGTTGGAATTTCATTTTAGTAACTAATATTGACCTTTAACACAACCCTTTAAAGTCTAATTAGAAAGCTCAAATGTGAAAACCTATGTTGACGAATATATATTGCAGAGGCGAAACTCCAATTCTAATTAGAAAATAACACAAAAAATACTTAAAGAACTGCATGTAAGTTCTGACGCATAAAGCCTTCATGTTTTGTTTGATTGTGCCATTGCCATGCATACCAAATTCTCATCATAGAGTTTTGAATCAAATTCTAAGTTCTTAAAACATGAGCTTTTTCATAATTTGCTTTCTTAGATTGGAATTCACTTTTATGCTTGGCAATTTGATGTGTTGGTTGGCAGCACCTGAACTATGTGGAAGCAGCAAGACTTTCACTCTAGTAAATTACTGCAAGGAGACAATATGGCCCGGCATAACGCGCAGCGACAACCACAGTGGTGGCGGCTTCACATTGAAACCAGGGCAATCAACAGAATACACTGCTCCTGATGGATGGAGTGGGAGGATATGGGCCAGAACAGGCTGCAGCTTTGATAACAGTGGCAATGGCAAGTGCCAAACAGGTGGTTGTGGCACAAGCATAAACTGCACTGGCCCTGGAAGCCCTCCTGCAACAAGTGCTGACTTTAGCCTTGGTGAAATTGATTACTATGATGTTAGCCTTGTGGATGGCTTCAACTTGCCTATTGTAGTGAAGCCTATGAATGGCACAGGGAACTGCAGCATTGCTGGCTGTGATGGAGATTTGAGGCAGAATTGCCCCTCAGAGCTAGCTTCAAAGGAAAATGACAAAGTTATTGCTTGCCGTAGCGCGTGTGGCGTCTTCAACACTGATGAGTATTGCTGCAGAGGGACTTATGGAAACCCTGCAACATGTTTGCCTTCAAACTACTCCAAAATCTTTAAACAAGTGTGTCCTGTGGCATATAGTTTTGCACTTGATGACCCAACAAGTTTAATAACTTGCTCAAAAGCAGACTTTGTTGTGATATTCTGTGGATCAAGGTAGGTTTGGTCTTGACAATTAAATGTTTCAAGAAATAGGAACATGCCTATAATTGAGTGTGAGTGCATCAGAGATATTACATGATACATTCACCATTATTTTAATAACCTAAACAAGTTATTATCTGAGTCTGCTTTTGAACAAGTTTAATAACTTGTTCAAAAGCAGACTTTGTTGTTATATTCTGTGGATCAAGGTAGGTTTTTTCCTAAAAATTAAATGTTTCAAGAAATGGGAGCACATCTATAATTGAGGGCATCAGAAGTATTATATGACATATTCCTCATATCATTCACCACTATTTTTTTTATTATTCTTGTTGAGTGCAGGAATCAGACAGCATGCTCCTATCAAGACAAGAAAGTTGTATGTAATGGATCAAAATCAAATGCTTATAAAACCATTCCTCAGAGCTGGTGGGTCCTGATGCTCCCAATTATATACATGCTCAATTTAAGGATCACATCTTAGCCAATTGTGCAATTGAAGGTCTTCTCTTTGTTACAATCAATTAGTTCATTTTAACATTTTTTTGGTTCATTGATTTTCTTTGAGCTAAACACAAACAGAGAAGATGCTTCTAAATGAATTTTATTTTATCTAAACACATGAGGATGTCCTCCAGCATTAACACGTGATGTAAAGAATTTTCTACATTGTAAAGTTCAAATTTTATCTATTTTTATTTTCCAATCTAAGCTAAGACTCATACAATAAGTCATAAGACATCTTAGTGGCATAACTGAAACCAATACAACAACAAAATCTGTCATGAGTGATTCATGTTTGGCATATCGACGAGTTTCACGTTTGCTGCCGAAGGCCTAATCACTTCCTCCCTCCTTTGGGACAGAAAACTGGGACCAATAAAAATAGTTGTTGTTTGGGTAGAGAACCCCTCTAAAATGAATCCTTTATTTCTTGTTACAATCTTGTGAACCAAGAAACATTACTTATTACCTTTAATAATTCCACAAATCATCTCATTATAACTATTATCGATTTATGGTGTATGATCAATAAATCTCGGTGCCATGTCTAGTCCGCTATCCAGAAGCAGTTGGCCATTCTGACAGCGGAACAAGGATTCTATCTGTTAGTGCCTCCAAATCTTGGTCGGTTGGCTAGAGGACAGGTCAATAAACATGATAAAAAAAAAAAAAATTAAAGGACCAGACAATATTGTACAGTTACAATTAATGAAAATTTAATGTTAATGTAGCACATTGCAAATTTTAGGATCAAGCACATTTCTTGCAACACTATTGAAATAGAAGCCACCTAATAACTGGACTTGTAACAGAAAAATCAAGTGGACAATTGAATGCAGTTAGCTAAGCCAATCAGACAATCTTAAACCTAATAAAGCATCTAAAAGGTTCCATTTGCATAATCATAGATGTGTATGAAGCTATTTTCGGAAGATACCTTTCTCTTTAAACCAGCCTTCAAAAGAAATGCAATATTTAATGCAATGGAACATCAGACTGCTACTCTTTCACTTTTCTCATGCGATGGGACCTGCAATTGCAAAGAAAAGAGAGAAAAAGGCACGAGGTGGGCCGGGGAAGCAACCTCACGAACCAAGATCTGTTGGCACATTTTATTGTCTTCCATTGGGGTAACACTTTCAATATATAGCATAGTTCCATTTATAACATTGATTCCCTTAGAAAGAATGAACAATGCTGAATGTTGTTTCATTTTCAAGCAAAAGGGATGCCACAAACTCTGGAAAAAGATCCAAAAAGCTGTTCTCTAACCATACAACAAGAATTTAATTCGAATAAGTTAATCTTAATCATGAATCGTTATATAATCGAAAATTGTTGTCTTTTATATTAATTACTTTAAAAGTTATATTCCAAGTGATTTTTAATTGTAACAGATTTTTATAAAAAAAATTACACTAACAATTTCAAAATTTAATCAATACTACAAAACCAAAGCTAGCACATGTACATCCTCTTTATCTTTATAATATTTTTGGGTCACCATGTTATTATTATTACTTTACTTCTGTGTAGAACCTGTTTAGGCACATTTAGAAGGTCTCAAAAGTTTATATCTTCACATTTTATATGACTGTCTTGTATCACTAATCACTATTCTAATTTCCTTAGTCCTCAATAATTACAAATTTGTAACCGACCTCATAAGCAACCCAGACAATGATCACTGTCTTGTAATCAGTATTAAGAAAAATTTTAACAGTCTTGTAGTCTAGAACATAACCCTTCTACCCATATGACTAAAGTCACACTCACAAGTGTAAGATCTCACTCCCTCTAGAATGATGAAAACACAACAAGAGTTGAAGCGGTACTCCTCCATTTGGCACTTACAATTCCGAGAGGAGTGAAACAAAAAAAAAAAAAAAAAAACCTTTAGGTTTAAGTTTATAATAGAAAAGAGACGACTCTTGTCCTATTGGAAATAGCACAAGACTACTCACTAAGGAAAGTTTTAGACAAAAGCTTCACGTCATACTATCCTAATCCTTTATAACTAACTGATGATCTTAGTTCTCACTTTTTAACACTCATACTCAAATTTCCTAATATTATTTATTTAATAATTTATAATAAAAAAATTGCATACTTGATTATAATATGAGAGAATAATTTGCAGGATGTTACTTTTTAGACTCCTTGTTAGTTTTCTGAGGGTCCTAAGATGATGAAGTTTTCATACTATTAAGATGGTATGCTCTTAGGACATACTCTTTATAAGTTGAGGTGAACATGGGTTGGACAAATACAACCAATCCGACTTAACCTAAACTCATATGACTTGATTTGACCAAATTTGTGGGTCAATTCATATTGCAAAATAAGTAACCCGAGCAAGTTAAGTGACGGATTTAGTTTTGGTAACCCAAGAACCAACCTAACCCGACTAATACTCACTAAATATCTCTTTTATTTTTATATGATACAATGACTTTAAATGGGATTGAGGATCTTTTTTTTTTTACGTTTTATTTATTTTCATGATTCCCACTGCCCATTTCATGCCTTATTAGTAGAGCAAGCACTGTCAAGGCAATTAAGCCTTTTTTATTTCTTTTTGTTAATGAATTACTTAATTTTTACGATATTTGACACACATAATAATCTTCACAACTTGTGCTAAATTTCTTACAGTTGTGGGTTCATACGTGAAAATGTTCTCTTGCCTTTTAATGAATAAAAAAATAAGACGCAAAGGAATATGATTCATGCGAATGAGAATGTTTTACACTCCATAAAAGTGTATAATGATTATGTAATAGAAAATGATTATTGGAAAATTTTAAATCAAGTAACAAACTTTCTGCTAATAAAATTATGTACATTAAATGATGTTCACAGTATAATCTATTAAAAGTTAATGTTTATGTTCTTTTCATGGTGGTTATTTTATATACCAAACCCCATTGTTAAGACTTTCTTATTATGGCTAAATAATATTCATGCTCCAAACTGACCAATATCATTCAAACAAGCCAATTTAATAGTTGTAAACTACGTGTATATATATATACTATATAGTTTTCTTTTAGGCTGATGCAGCACAGTAAATGTCAAAGGTTGAACTGATGAACAGTGAGTTGACAAATTAAATAATTAGAAACTGAGTGGGAGACATGGCCAGCCCATTTTGGATCCTCCTTTTGAAGCAAGTCAAAAAGCATAGTGAAATCACAATGCAAGCAAATAGCAACATAACAACAATGGTCAAAGAAAGCTTCAATATCTTCGACCATGTGCAAGACAATTAGCACCAAAGAGTTGCACTCTAGGGACACAGAAGTCTTTATTGCAAAAGGGCAGCGGATATTCTTGTCATAAATGTACAACCCCCAAGCAGATAAATACGTTCAATGCAAAACTTCTACAGACAAAACCAAGGGATTGAAAGTCTTTGAAAACAACAAAGGCCAAAATATTTCAATAGATAGTACAACTTCATGCACGCTTATGCACCTTCTTTCTTCGAAAAGCCAGATCAAAACCCATCACAGAAAAAACTCATTTCTTCCTCATTATTGCCTAGTCAAAACCTAGCTATGATCTCTTCTTCAAATCTCAGCCAGAATTTGATCCATTTCCTTGTGCTTTATCTTTGCTCTATATATAGCCTCTAGGGTTTCTCAGAGGCCTTGTTCCATAGCCATTTTGGCATTCTGTCCACCTCCATTAAATTTGTTGTTTTGGAATCTCCCAAAAAGGTAGCAATTGGAGGTGGCCATTAGGCCAAACGGGCTCTGTGAATCTGTCTCTAAGAAACCCACTTGTGGGCTTGATTATCTTTCATATCTCTTCTGAACAATTATCTTCTTCCACATACACATATCTCACTGAGTCAGATACTAATTACGTACGCTTGTGATACAGTCGAAAGGTCTTTGTACATGAAGGACATCAAACACATAATTCCTTACTAAATAGATCATATCATACACATGTTAATTGAGTTATATACCATGTCTCCTTTAATTCTGGTCTCGGTATGCACTCTGCAACTTCTTATATATGTGCCTCAGTCTGATGGGTTTATTTTGCATTTTTGCAGGTTAGTATTCCTACTCCTACGTAGTTATCAGAAACATGTCCCTTTTCTCTGATGAAAATACCAAACTGAATTGCAACAAGTAGAATACTTGATGAAAACAACCATATGCTTTGAAGGTACTAAATAGTTTTTGCTTTTATTTTTCCTAGTAAAGAGGATCTTGGGGGTGGAAGTCAATAGTATAACTCTGATGCGTAACTTGTTGATCATATTCATACCCTATTATTTTATTTTGTTGGTGTTAGATAATTAACTTAAGTCAACCACCAAACTTGAACTTGAACGTGAACAAGTAAATACTTTTATTACTTGTCCTTTTGTTAGTGTCGTAAACTTTTGTCTTGGCTTTGATGGTAGGGTTGCACCTTTTCACAAGTTTAAACTTAAAGCTTTGTGGATAATTGCATGCGCCTCCACTTGTTGAAAATCCACTGGCTACCAGAAATACTTTGAGACCCTTTGTAGCATTGGATTCCTAGAAGCATTAGAGTATGATTAATTTAGACTTAGCAATATTGCAACATTATGAGTTGTAGTGTTTCAAATGGAAAACCCTAACTTATCCACACACAGCATAATGCACTCACGCAGCTAGCACCACCACCACCAACCAAAAAGTCTATTATGTCAGCTTCATAAAATCTTTGTAAATGGGAGAGGAATCTATCAGTGCCCTTTGGAGCTGACACATATCAGTCATCAGATGATGCCACAATATAATGAATCAGTGTTCAGGATTTCAAAGAAGAAATAATCAGTTTTAATTTCTCAGTGTAGCTACCTATATATATATATATATAATAGTATAATGTAATGCAACTAACATAATGATTCCTAGATCTTTGTTCCTATAACTTTACATTTTCATATAATTGGCGGGACCAACTTCAGCTTTCATTTTGATAGACACTGGGGTCAGGCCTGAAAGAAATTAATGGCAGGAAGTTCCTTATGTATGATTACTTGATTATGCAAATGCCAATTTGTTCTGAAAGATATTCTAAATTGGTCCCACTAGGCAGGTTCACGAATTTTATATGGTAGCAATTTGGAAATGACCTCAAAAGTCTAGATTCACCTTATCTTTAATTAGTCATGGATTTCGTTTTTTATTATATTAATTTGATTTCTATCAATTCTTAAAATATATCCACGAATGACTAGTTTATTCATATTGACCCGTCTAGCAAACTAGAGAAAAATCTTTTTTTTTTTCAGTCCCAAACATTACGTTAGTTAATTTATTTTAATATTAGTTACTTATATGGTTATCAATTGTCTCATTTATATCCGATACCACTGCATGAAAAATGACATATATGGACGAAATGATAGTCTGTGGATTAATATAAAATAATTTTTTAATTATTTATCTAAAAAAAAATCAATTTTCTTGTGAGACTTGTATCTGGATTTGATACTTTGACCAATGTTACGCGTAATTTGCGTGTTTAATCGAGTATTTATTGATCTTTTGCTCTCTTTTTTTTCATCATAAAAGTTTATAGTATAATATTTAATATTATTTCTTAATTAAAAACTTTAAATATGGAACTGGAAACATTAACTTTATCTTTAAATTAATGGACTGACTGGTGGAAAGAAATTATATCTCTTAATTACACTAATATAATAAATAAATAAATAAGTCATTAAATCTTATGGTTTTCTGGATTCATATAATAAAAACTAGAGATTGGGCTTTTTTTTTTGGCCAAATTTGTCATTCTCGTTTTCATTGGCGCATGAATCAGTCATACACAGCATATTAAGTTGAGAAAAAGTGTTTTTTTTTTTCTCCTCGAAAAGTATTTCTACACAAACTTATTCAATCATGTCCATAATTTATAAGTTGATGTAGTTATCATGTAAAACTATCATTTCAATGACGTTGAGGTACTTGTAATGTAAGTTTTGGTACTACAAAAAAAAATAACAAATCAGTGACTGAATCTATTATTAAACGAAAATTGCCTTTTTTGTTATTAATATTGGAATCACAAAAAGTTTAGTGACGAATTTTGTAAAGATTATGTATAAATTGTTTAGTTGCTATTTTTTTTAATATTTGTTGATTTTGATTGATCTTTTGATCTATATATGATCATGAATAAAATTATCTCATATATATATTCTAATTAATATAACTTTGCTTTTAAAATTATATTCATCATTAGGTATTGTGTAGCTTAAATAATAGAGAGAAAAAATGTTACGGTGTAAAGTTTTTAATGATATCATCCGAATACAAATTAATATATATGATAAATTTGTTAACTTTGACAATACTTATTCTAAAAATTATATTAAAATAATTTTTTGATTGGTTAACGATGTGTAATATTTTTATTCTAATATATCTAAAAAGTCACATATCATTCAGAATTAAACATAATTTATAAACATTTTTCCTCTTTCACGCTCAGACACTTTTTTAAGGATAGAATCGTGATGATCCAATAAGCGTTAAAATGAATAATACTTTAAATACAATAATCTTAACAATATCAATAGACTCACGCCTTAAACACTTTAGAAAGTGAGCCTAAACTACTCTTACTCTTTAGCCTCTATTAGAAGATTTACTCTAATACAAAACATCTTTTTAAAGACAATCATGATAACTCAACAAACGCTGGATAAATATAAAATTATAGTTGAAAGACTTTCACACCAACAAATTAATTATAATGCATATCCATTAAATTATAATAATTTTAAAATAATTAATAGAAATGAAAGAAATTATTAGGTGGGTGTAAATAATTTAAATAAGTTCTAACTACATTAGATTTAGAATCACTAAGATCTACAATTCTTGATAAATAGTGTTAAGGTCAAAACCCACTTAACCAAAGTTGGAATATTCTGTTTTTTGACTTATGTCAAGGAAAATTTTACAATATCCTTCTTAATTAATTGAGAGTAAGTGAGAGATACTAGTATAATTAGAATATTGTCAATTTTATTCTATTATTGTATTTTTAATAATTTATTTATATTATATTTTATATTTTTTAATTATTTCTGTATTTTTTTTTGAATATCTTATCCTTTTATTTTATTTTTCTAAATTATTTAGTCATTCTATTTTCATTATATATATTCTAGTTTCCTTTTTAATAGTATCATTATATGCTTAAATAGCTTAGTTTTAATAATTCTTTTAACATATTTTTATCTTTTTACCTTAAATTTTTTGAATCTCTATACCGTAAATTAGTTTTTCACTTCTATTATTTATTTATATTTTCTTTCTTTTAATATTTTTATAACATTATTAAAATCTTATAATTTTAATCTCTATATTTTCATTTTACTTTTTATTAAATAAATATAATTAAAAAATATAATTGAAATTATTCATTTTGAATCAAAACCCCTCGATCTCTAAGGATAGCAACTACCTTTTAGCTTTTGTCAATTGTGTTGGTACTTAATTAAATTGTCTAATAAGCTAACCGACACATATGCATTGAGGACTACTATTATAAGAAAGATATCATCTAATTAAGACATTCAAACTGATTGACACATGCATTCTATGGGATTCCTACATGAATAATGTTCAAGTGTTTAGGGCTGATTCCTACCATCTACCTTCCTTTCAAAGTGCTTCTCTACTGGGACTTTGCAGTTTGCCCCATTCACCACTTCAAACAAATAACTATAAAATTATCAACAAGGGATCCATATATTGTTACCACTATTTTCGAAATAAAAAGGTCTATATATGATCATTTGACACATGTTGGAATTAGTTGTTACGATTTTTGTTCACTGGTTTCAGAGAACATTTTCCACAAGCTAGCATGCAGATAGGTGCAATATGTGTGCTCTTCATATATATTATAAACTTAGCATGATTGGAAGGCCTCAAAAGATGACTTGAATTCTTAACTCGAGGAAGAAAGGTAAAGAAGATCAAGCCACTTCCCACTTCTTTCGCTTTAGGCCGTTTGGTCCATTTCTCTATTAATCACCAAATGAGCTATTTTTCTTTAAAGGCATATACAACCTTGGATGTATTATTTATTAATTTGTTGTTCCTTATTTGGCTTACCACGAGGCTATTCTATTAATATGAAAGATAATATTTTCATTACAATAATTCATATTTTGTATAACTTTTTCCTTACGAGAGTCTTGTAAGATTTTTTCTTTGAAAAATCTGGAGTGATATCGATTCGTGTAACCTTATTTTTGGAAACATTCAAAGCCTGTACCAATTTTACTATTGTATTTATATTCTTTTAAATTCTAATTCTATTAACTAGAGTCAAAATTGATTGTATAGACGTATGTCCAATCTTGCTACCGTATGTATACAATACTTTTATAATATTTTGAATTTATTTTTTTTATCAGTAAAAATTAAACAACAACGATAACGATAAAATACATATACATAGGATTATGTACATATACTATTCTAACCTTTCATTATTAGATCGAATATAGTGGTTTATTTTAAGTTGAATTGTAACAACGGATGAATTTGTCTCAAACTTTCAATTTAACAATTTATTTTTGACAACCTATTTAACTCTTTTTTAATAAGTCAAATAAATATAAATAATTTGTAACTGAACTTAGTATAGAGTGTGCCAAAGTTTAAAAACAATGTGTGACTTCAATTAAACTATATTGTTTTTTTTTATCGGCTTCAATTTAACTATTTAAGTATTTATCTGGGTGTTTTTTTCCAACTAATTATAGTGAATACTTTTGAACCTAACTATTTGATTGGCCTGATGAGTAGCAATTTTTTTTTTTTTTTTGCTGAACTGAGTAGTAATATAATAATACTATGTATGGACGGAAAAATTTAGAGAAAAAAATAACTAAAAAAAAAAAGGTAGAGCAACGGACCATTAATTAGCAGACAAAGAAATTGGCAAATTACGGGTAAAACATAATAAATAAATAAATTATAATTAAATTAGTGTTTTAAAAGAAAAATGATACACGTACACCCTCAAGTTGTATATATCCTATTAGATTTTATTTTAAAATTAATTAAGTAAAGTTATAAAAAAAAAAATATATATATATATATATATATTTAAACCGTTTCTTAATATTAGTTAAGTTAAAGGGAGATTTTCCAACAAATCTTAATAAAAAAAATAGTATAAAATTAGGGAATTTCTTAATCATTGAAAACAGGGATAGAGGGAGGGGATCTGGAAGCGTCATGGTTCTCTCCTTCCCCCTCCCTCATTTTTTTAAAAATGTATCAAAATTATTTGAGAAAAAAAATTGACTCTCCTAAATAAATTATTAAAAAATAAGTATGAATCATAATAAATTATTTATAAGTTAAAATATTTACATATAAATATTATTAAAAAAATTGGCCTCCCTCAATAAAATTCTGACTTCATCCCACATTGAAATACCAATATAGAATGATAATTAAATTAGAATGAAAGAATAGATGAAATATGAAATTAATATTAAAAGATAAAACCTATATATAAAACATTAAATATTTTTTGTGATCTCAAAATTGAAATGTCATTTTGGTAACGAATTCAATAAGGCCGGGTACTGATTATCATGTAAAATTTTACACCACTCATAAGATTCGAACACGGTATCAATAAAATTTTACACCACTCATGTAGCATGTTTAACCAACCGAGCTAAATCCTTGATAGAAAAAACACATATAATAGTGCATTTTGTCCAAAGTGAAATGCATTAAATCAGACAGCATTAATGGCAATTTTGGTTCCAGATTGGCAGTGACCAACGAAATTGCAGATGAAGTAGTTCTGTCCCTTCACAAGTTTGATCTGATCACTCCCTGATTTATAGATTTTGGCACCTTTTGGTGTCTTGCATGCATTGTAACCACCTTTATTCACAGCCACCACATTGTGAGCCCCAGGGCTGTAGTTAAAAACTGCCATTACAATAGATAGATCTTATCAGTCTCTACATTGTTAAATTATATAATGTTTAAAATTGATTTAAATAACAAGTCAGAACAATGAATCATAAACAATTTAATGGTCAGATTGTTGTCTTATGATTTTCATCAGCTATATAATCCTTGGGTAAATAAAAAAGGTACATAACTTTCTTTTTCTTCTAAACAACAAAATATCTTATACATATTCCTTCAATCTTGTATCACAAACAAGTATTATCTTTAACTTTAAACAACTTCGTATTAATTGATTTAAATATTCAATGTTTAAAATTAGAAAAAAGTAGTTAAAAAAAAAAAATCTTCTCTAGATAGTAGCTACCAAGCAAAGCCCATGATTGAACATAAAGCTCAACCTTAGTCCAAATTTGTACTTCTGGGATGAAAGTCGTTCATGGTCATTGTGTCTCACCTTAGACAAACTCTCTTATTATTTCTTACATTAATCTCTTGAACCTTCTTTCTAAAATGAAAAGAAAAAAAAAAAAAAAAAAAAAAAAAAAAAAAAAAAAAAAAAAAAAAA